AAAAAGATTATTTATTTATTTGAGAGAGAGGGAGAGCACAAGTGGGGGGAGGAGCAGAGGGAGAGGATGAAGCAGACTACCCACTAAGCAGGGAGCCCGACATGGGGCTCGATCCCAGGATGCGGGGCTCGATCCCAGCCAAAGTCAGATGCTTAACCGACTGAGCCACCCAGGCACCCCACAAGGTAGCATTCTTTTGGAGGGTGAAACAAAGCCCATGCTGGACATGTAAGGCCTCCAAAATTATCACCTACTGAATTCCCTCTTAAACTTACCTAGGTTGTAGAGTCCAACAAAACTATCATGGAAAAGAAAAAGGAGAAAGAAACTGCAGGGAATTAGGAAGAGAGAGAGGAATTCATAGGGAAGTGCAAATAAAAGCCAATATGATGTAAGTTTAATTAAAAACACAACCTGGAAATAAATTACCCAGTGATCTTGACACAGGAGGTGGCATGAGGTGGGGTGAGGAAGACAGGGTAGACAGGGAGGGGAGTAAAAGAGTGAGAGGTTAATTATTAAGAGAAGGATCTGGTCCCTGATTAATTCTCAGTGTTGATAGAAACATGTAAGTTTAAATAGGTGTGTTAAAAAGTGAAGAGTAAATGCATGAAGAGAACTGCCAGAGAAAAGAGAGCCCTTGAGGTAAATGGGCAGCTGGAGGAGCAGTCTGAGCAGGCAGGGGACAGGGAAAATTGACTACATGGGCCCCTTGTGGGCATGGGCAGCTCCCAGGAGAACCTGCCTAGATGGGGGAGGTCCAAGTTTCAGCGAGGCTGCCATCAGAGCGATGGGCCCCCATGGAGCTGTCCAGGGTACTGGACTGTTTGGCTCTGAAGCCTTCAGCTTTGTTTCCACTTCCTGCATTTGCTGAAAAGATGGCCCTGGACTTCATCCACCTCTCCTGCCCACCAGCTGTCCAGACCCACACCCATGTGCCCTCAAGCATGTCCTACGTTCTTTCCCAATGTCCCTGTGCTGAGCCTGACCATGACCAAGTCTCATTCAGTTCGGAACCTACTTTTCTTTCCCCACTTTAAGTACAGAATAAAAGAACAGAAGGTTTGGGTTGGTTCTTGCCTGCTGGGAGGAGAAAAATGAAACTAAAGCCCAAGACTCCAATGTCCCTAAAGACTGGGAACATTCCAATCTCCCCTTTCTATCCTCCTCAGCCCCGCCAGTGCCCCAACTCTTCCAGAAGCCTCTGTTCCCCATCCCTCGACCTACCGTGGAAAGCTCGGTATGCAGAGCCCACACAGGCCGAGTTGGCAGTGTCTGTGACATACACTGGGGCACCAAACACATCTGCAAGCACCTGGAAAGGAGGAAGGTTCATACTGTAGTAAGCCATTCCTTGGGGGGAACACGGACATTTGGCACACATGCTCTACGCTCTCTTTCCTCATGTGTCTTCCGATGCCTTCCATTCCACCTCTACTGCCTTAAAGGAAGTATACTCAGCCATGCCACCCTGATAATAATAGTCAGGATGACCTGGGGGCAGTCTCTAGTGGAGGGCCACAGCTCTCCAGGTTGTCCCTGCACTATTTAACCATTTTATCAAAGACAAGAAGGAAGATTTAGGAAGTATACTTAGCAAATAGTTAAGGTGGAGATGGCTGGAGGTAGAGACTAATGTCAACAAGCTCAAACAAACCCAAACTAAGAGGGCATGTCTAATAGGACTAAGGATAAATTTTTCCATTTAGCTCCCCAAAATAAATCGCATAATTTTAAAATGGAGGACCTCTATTCAGTGGAGCTCACATGGAAAAGACTTGGGAGTCTTAGTTGACTGGAAATTAGAGTGGATGCCACCGATGCCCCATCTGGATTCCATTACTGGACTGCTGTGCATCTCTCCCCCAGATGCTATGAGTATCGGCTGCTAATGGCTTACAGCTGCCCCTCCTCAAAAGAATTGCTCTTGGCTGAACAGAGGATGCCTCTCATAGAAGGTTATTCTCACCTCTCTCCAGGTTAGCCACTTGGCCCCCTTACCCAAGGTGGAACCAAGTCTGTGGTACAGTTCACGTTTCAGATCTTCCCTATGGGATGGAACCGAAGCTGAAATCACATTCTTGCTTATCATTTCCCTCAGCGCTACCTGCCCCCCTCACTCTCTTCTGGGAGCACCTTCTCAACAATCCACTTATAGAAGAATTCCCATCTCAGGCTCTTCTTTTAGAGAATCTTACCTAAGACAGGTATATTATAAGTCAATAGTTGATACAGCCTCAGGCTACATCCAAAAATGCTCAGTGTCCCAATAAGACCCTGACAGCCCCATGATGTGACAGCTTGACTGTCAGACATCTGCAGGAGTGGGAACAGAGGCAGTCCTTATTGGACAGTGTCTGGCTCTTAGAAGTAACAGACATGGAAGAGGCCCTACTGCTTGGCCTATCACCAACACATACCTGTAAGATTTCTCTGTTGCGAGATGCCCCTCCAGTGGCCAAAATCTTTGTCTTGGGCACTGCAAGGAAGAAGAAAACACTGATGGCTGTAACAATCTCCCCAAGACAAAAAAGACTTTTCTAGAGTTCTTCAGCCACAAAGGGCTTGTACTGGACCAATGCCTCTTGCTCATCACACAGGACTCAAGGAGAGCTCCAGAGCTGGCACTGTCCATGCAGGCTTGTCACAAGTAATTTGTTTGCAAGGCTGCTGCCCTCTTACTGTCTTCATTTTTTTAAATCATTAAAAAAAAAAGAATCTGTCAACAAACCAGGAACAAAAGGGAACTTACTTAAATTAATAAAGGCCATCTATCCAAAATTTATAACAAACGTCATTCTTTTTTTTTTAATTT